GCTTAGCACGCAGTATGCCCACAGGATGTGCCATTGACAGGTAATGTACTGATAAGGAGAAAAGAACACCGATCACTATTTTTTATTTATATGAAGCATAATCTTGCATACTTCTTACTTTAATATTGTAAAATTCATAGGCCATGAATTGTATATTTCATTGACAGTACAATGTGACAGTATTAAATATTAGTCTCCAAGCAACTTCATTACAATAGTCTTTGTGTAAAAAAAAACAAAAGCAGAATAAACTAGTCGGTATTTAGTGTGCTGTCAAAGATTGCAATTTGCTTCAAATGTGGTTTATTGGTAATGAGGATTGTTCTGGTCTCCATAGAGTTGCTGCCAAGAAAGGAATGGAAATATTTGAGGTTCCTACTGGCTGGAAATACTTTGGAAACCTCATGGATGCTGGAAGGTTGTCCATTTGTGGTGAAGAGAGCTTTGGGTAAGTGAACAAAATTCACACGGCCGGATCACTCGCACTCACTTACAGACAGACGCAAACAAGTAGAAAAGATGTTCTGTACAGTATGTTATATGGTTCAAGATGTGTTACTAAATGTAACTTACTTATATTGCAAATATAAGAAAGGATTTTTAGATCAAAATAACTTTTTCTTCCGCGTATTCAGTCATATATTTTAGTTTATTGGATTCCTAATTTACCCATCATATTCCCCTGCAAAACTGTAGGTGTATCTTTGAAAAGCTTGGAGCTGCATTGAGTGAAAAAACCCATAAATGAATTGTTTATGTATCGTATATTTTAGAATTTGCTCGAAAGTATTTGTCACGTGTGTGCGGTTTGTTTTCTTATTGTTTCTTATTACGCATTTTTATTCTGCAAAGGCTGCTTTCACTGGTAAGATACATTTTGATTTTTTTAGTATATCTTAAAAAAGTGTAACACTTAGTTGGTGAAAGAAACCCTTAGTTACTTTATTTATATGCATAGTGACAAGAGCTAAATATATTTCACCTTTTATGACCATCTGAAGTATGACATTTAACTGTTTAGGCTAGATAATGAAATTGGCTAGCATGGTGACTTGTAATGAAAAAAGGAATTGATTTATTGTTATTATTATTATTGTTGTTGTTGTTATAAATTTATAATCTGTGTCATGTTAACATTGTATGTAAGCAGAATGATCCAGTTCATGTTTGGTATGTTGTCTGAAGCTTTTAATTATTATTATTATTGTTTTTTATTGTTATTATTTGTTTAACTGGTAGTGATGTTTCTTTATGGAAATTTTTAATGGTAAACTAAAAACCAGAATATTTTCAGTTTTTGAAAATAATGATTCAGGATACAAGCCAACTGGAAATTGATTTATTAGATTGTAGATCCCAATTTAATAGACTAGTAAGAGGGAAAGGATGGCTGCTGCTGAAACACAACTGCTTTGTAAATTTAAAAATGTAATAATAATAGTAAACTTTTGATATAGTGATATTTTGTAGTAGTCTTCGTTCTGTACCGAAGTTCGGGGTGAAGTGGAGTCATCAGATTCTTTTGATATCTGCACAGGATGATACTGAGTGTTAGCCCTTGTAGCTTTATGATATATGGAAACAGTGTGGTGGAAAATAATATGAGACTCAGTGAAGCTCATTTAAAGAATCCACTTAGGTTCAGTTCGTAAACTTGTTCAAAAATCTTTTTATTTTCAGTACTGGAAGTGATCACATTCGAGAGAAAGATGGTATATGGGCCGTGCTTGCATGGTTGTCCATCCTCGCTGTCCGCAAAACTACAGTTGAAAAGGTTCTGCTAAATCACTGGCAGACTTATGGAAGGAACTTCTTTACTAGGTATGTAATGAAATTGTATGAAAAGTAGAGACTGCAATAATGTATATGTATACTATATAGTGATATAGAATTGATAAAAAGCAGTAGTACTCTTAGGTGATACTTTCACATTCTGCATTGTGTAAAAGTAGCAAAATGTATAAATGGATGTCTACCTTGTCATGTTGTAGTTAAAGATTTCATGAGCTTTACTAATCAGTTTGTCTTCACAGATATGACTATGAAAATTGTGAGAGTGATCCATGCAATGCTATGATGGCTGCTCTGGATGCCATGAGTGGTGATGCTGCCATGGTTGGGAAGGAGCTGTCGCATGGGGGAAAGACGTACAAGATTGCCAAGATTGACAACTTCGAGTACACTGACCCCATTGATGGAGCTGTGGCAAAGAAACAGGTCAGTTTCTCGCTGCGTGTTTTTTTGCATTTATTTCATTTTTCTTTTCTTTTTTTTTTTCTTTTTTATGAAGTGTGTTTGCAGAAGATAAGTTTGTATCGATTTTACATGTTTACACTATCGAGTTTCTTGTTTACACTATATCTTATTTTTTTATAAGACACCATAGCTTTAAAAGTAATTCATTCTAGGTTCTTTTGGTACTGCAGTGGGGGTCTTTAGTTATTAATATCAAGTAATATAGCAAAAGCAGTATTTAATCCTATTTAAAGAATGAGTAGTAGATCATAAAAATGAATCTGAAAAATGCACTTTAATCTCTAATTGTATATCTGATGTAGAAAAAAAAAAAAAAGTTGATTAGAAGTATGATTTTTTTTTTTTTTTTTTTTTTGTAAATGGTATTTAGTCCATGAAAAATGAGAACTAATGTGATCACGTCATTCCAGGGAGTGCGTATTCTCATGAGTGACGGATCTCGTGCTGTAATGCGACTCAGTGGCACAGGAAGCTCAGGTGCAACTGTCCGCATGTACATTGAGAGCTACGAATCTGATCCCTCTACGTACACAAAGGATGCTCAGGTATGGCTGCACGATATTTCTCCTTTAGTTGACGTCAACGGGGAGAATTGGTGTAACATTTTTATTTATGGAAAATTTTCTGCTGCATCAACATGTAAATAAGTGGAACAATGATAGGAACCAGAAGAATTAGTGTAAAGATATTAGAATTATGGATGCGAGAAGTAGGTAGGGTAGTTATGATATCTCTAGGAGAGGTAGGCATGAGTCGTTTAGAGGGAGTAGTCTCCTTGAGAGAATGGGGTTGAATGAATTCAGGAGAGAAATTACGAACCATTCGTTGAAGTTGCATGTCAGTGTAGTAATGCAAAAATATTTGGTGATAAATTGCTTATGTATTTGTGTTTTTTCCATAAATTGAAAGTATATTTACCATATTTTCCTTACCTTGCAGGAAGTCCTCAAACCACTAGTAGAAATTACAATTAATTTGTCCCAGCTACGTGAACGCACAGGTCGCCAGGAGCCTACAGTTATCACCTAAGCATATGGATAGCTGGGGTGTCAGCATTTCTGGATATTATGTGAAACAGTGTACTTGAATGAATTTAGAATAAAGATATGCTTCCATAGAAGTCATTATGTACTTTTGTATGGTATATAGATTAAACAAAACCAGCATAAAATGACCAAGAACTAGAGCCAGAAAAGATATGTTTTCTTGTTGAAAAGTTCCTAATTTGTTAGCATTTTGTTTTTTCTTATCTTTCTCTCAATATTGTTATTTCAAGAAGCGAGAAATTCAGTAATAATGTGATGTGCAGTGATTTTTTTTCTTCTTTTTTTTGTTGTTGTGAATAATGAATTGCTGAAATGTAAGGATTTTCTTTCTTAATGTTTAAGCCTTCATGCAACAGTTTTTTACTGAAAGTATTCACACACAAGTTATTATTTCTGTTACTCAAAATAAAAACAAAAGAAAATAAGTCTGTGATATATGTTGTATCAGTTTTATTCTTCTCACTATTGATAATGAACTTATGATACATCAAATAGTTTAATTAAACTAGTTTGTATCGCTGTCTAAAGAAAAGATATTAAAGTTGTTTTTTAATTACTTGTGAGTAGAATGCCTCATTTTCTTATTGCATAATACCAGGAAATTAAAAGTGATTTGAAATAGAGGGTCTACAGTATTGTAGATTCAAGAGTAAGTGACTGGTTCAGTAATTATGATACTGATAGTGAGTAAGCTAGATATGTACATGAAAATTCTCATTTTTTAGTGTATGAAGAATATACCAGGCATTTTGTGGTACTACTATAGAATGAAGATAGTAACTACTTCTCAACACAAATTCTAGTTTTAGTTTAAATATGATGAAAATATTATTAACAACTAGATAATAAATTTAAGGCAATATAATTGCATGGGTAGTATGTATTCAACATCACTTCAAGGGTTTTTTAAACTTTAATAGAAAATGTTAAAGCAAAAATTCCAACTTTAAATACAATAGGATTTGTTGGTGTGAAATTTGTTGGAGTGAAATTTATGTGCATCATATACTTCAATGTCTGTAAGATTAATTTATCTGATCATAGAGGTTTTGCCTTCAATCTTTTCCTGTGAATGGCAAATCATCTGGTTACATTAAAGGCAAGATTTAAAAGGAGAACTAGTGACAAGCAAATACATTTATACTCCTTTTTATTAAGATAGTACATACAAAAACAATAATTTACCATCACACTCTAAAGCCACACAATATGCAAGTCTTTTCATTCTTAAGCATGTGTCACATATCTGGAATACAATGCAACATCTTGCCGTTAAATTTTGAAAACCCTAGAAAGTAAAAAATGCAATTTCATGACTTAAAAAAAAAAAAAATAAATAAATAAAAAAAATAAATAAAGTACTCAAATAATGCCTGTGAAGTTACCTTGTGCTCTTGCATTTCTTCAGCAAAGAGGGAAGATTGCAAAGACCTTCCATGACACCAGATTCCGAGTCTGGCATTTAACAGTGCCTACAAAATGCACAGAAAACAGTCATCCCATTCAGCTCAACCTGTCATTCAAATATAACTTTGACTCTGTATATACAGATCTCGTGCATCCAGATAGACAAAACCTAAATTGTTAATCTGAAAGCATCTAAATAAGTGTAAACTCTCAAAATGACAAACTAAACACAAGCTATTTCTGCCATACTCAAGCATTTCCCTATACAGATTTTAATTATATACTTAAGACTTTTTTTTTTGCTGTATTTTGAGATCTATTCTGAAGGTGACTGCAATGAATGATTTTTAAAAAATTAACTAGCATAAAAAGAGATTAAAGTTTATTTTTTGCATTAACATGAGATGGTAACAGTTGATGCAACTGATCATTCCGGAGCGTATCTAACCTCATGCCATTAATCTAAATCTAAAGAAATTTGTGGCAGTAGATGTGTTAATTTTTAATTTATTTGCAGATTCATTTTTACCTATAACATATAATTCTATAAACACTCAACAGCTAAAAATAAAATAAAATAAAATTTGCAAAACAAAAAGACTAAGTCATTCCTCAAAAATCTTATTATACAATGGTTACATTTTAAAATATCTGAAATTAAATGAAATTAGACCCGAACGCTTTAGACTTTCCAGAACAGAAGAGTTACAATATCCATATCTGTGTTCAAAAACGTCAAAATTTCCAGCATAAAACGATGAATAATAAAATGCCTCGATAACAATGACTAAATGCTCACATGTACTAAGTTCACAATACTGCTGATACTTAAATTTTTCATTATTTAGAAACATGTAATTCAGTGAACCCATACTTTTCTCTTTTTTTCCCTCTTCGTGAAGACAACTTAAAGACCATTTGGGCTGACAGAAGTATGTGCTCCATCATAACTGACAAATCCTTTCATAAAAATAAATCGTTATAAACCGTTAATATACAAACAATTTGTTCTTTCCTGATGATGATAAGGGATCTGATCTCTTCAAAGTGGCAAGGAGACAAACTGCTGATAAATGCAGTCGGCTTAATAGGCAGCTTGATTGCTCTTCTTGTCTGCAAAGAAGTTCTTCAGTATCATGACCTGGCCGACCGCAATGACCAGAATACCCAAAGTCTCCCCACAGCCCAGAAGAGGACGCGTTCGTTGAGGTCCTCGGCTCTTTTCCGTGACTGGGCCTCCTGTAGTCGGTGGTGGGTCTGATAATCTATTATAGAGTTTAGGTTCTCGTGAACCTTTTTGTGATGATGACTCCATCTGCAAAAGGAAATGGTATGCATTTTTTTCTCCACGTACGAAAAAAAAGTGTCGAACAACCAACATGAGTATACCCTGTGATTCCAGACTTACTATTATAATAAAGAGATGAAACGCAGAGAAAAATATACTAGATAATAAATAAAAACTACAAATTAAGAATAATGAATTAATAATGATAATAATTATATAAATACATTATAAATAACAACAACTTTCAGAGAACAGACGTTAATCAGAGAAATACGAGCATTTATAATACAAATTTACAAATTCCACGGAGTTACACAAAAGAGAAACCACTGAGAAGATAAGGTATTACTCACCTGGGTCATTGCTGTGAAATCCCCAACACCTGGTAGCTGTGGCTCATCGCCTACTTGAAAATCTACGTAGATGAGTTTGTGACTAAAGGTTGAAAACTCATTACTGAAGCACACCTGTGAAATTAATAACAAAAAGATGCAATTAGTGACAAGGGAAAAAAATAAAAATAAAATAAAAATACATACATATGTGTGTGTGTGTTGTGTGTGTATATATGTATATGTATATGTATATGTATATGTATACGTATATGTATATGTATGTATATATATTATATATTATATATATATATATATTATATATATATATATATATAATTATATATATATATTATATATATATATATATAACTAGCTGGGTATTACTGAACTAATTCAATTGGAAGATTTTATGAAAACTTTCAACTGTTATAACACACATAGTTGTAATTTTATTGAAGATGATGAAAAAAAAAGTTACCCTATATTAGCTCATAATTCTGACAAGTAATTCAATAATTATTAATACCATACCTGATACGTCCCAGTATGGTCTGGAGTAAACTGGAACTGTCCATACTGTTGCTTGATTTCACGGTACAAAATTTGTCGTGCAGGTCCCTCAACAAGGACATCGACATCATAGTGTCCACCTGTGACAACCTACAGAAAGAAAGTTTTCTCTCTTTAATAAAGGGCCATTATACATGTAATCATATACATACGCTTATACTTGCTTACATAACCCTTACGCACCAACAGCTGACATTGTATCTATTTTAGCCTCTGTATCTATTTTAGCTTCACGGAAGTTTACTAATCTAATCTACGTTTCTCAAATTCAATACATAAAGACATAACATTACATCAAAACCTTTAAACCTTTGTGCTGGGATGGCAGGACTTACACACCATGCCAGTGATTCATATTAATTGATTGCCTTTACACCTAATTGGCTCCACAATTACTTAGTCACCAAGGAGTCAATTACTAGCCCTACCTATCTCACATGTTTACCCTTTTCCTTGATATTTTCAAAGATTCTGTTAATCTTTATTGCTATCATATAGTATTTCAATAATGACTTCTAAAGATTATATAATCACCATGTCAATAATTATAATAATAATAATAATAATCTTAATAATCATCATCATAATGATAATGGTATAAGATCTAAAAGTATCAGAAAAACAGAAAAGAATATTCAAGGAATTGGGAAATCAGCTTCCACAAGGTTACTAATGAACTCGTAACATAAGTAGCTGTGGAGCCATTTGTGCGACAAAATTCACAGTGGACAGTAGACTAAATATACCCATTTACACAGGTTAAGAACCCTTATAATTATGTTTGCACAGCAGAGGGCTGACAAAACACGCTCTTCATCCACTAACTCATTCATTCATTAGATCTCACCCACTCACTAACTCTTTCATTCACCCACTCACTAACTCTTTCATTCACCCACTCACTAACTCTTTCATTCACCCACTCACTAACTCTTTCATTCACCCACTCACTAACTCTTCCATTCGCCCACTCACTAACTCTTCCATTCGCCCACTCACTAACTCTTCCATTCGCCCACTCACTAACTCTTCCATTCGCCCACTCACTAACTCTTCCATTCGCCACTCATAACTCTTCCATTCGCCCACTCACTAACTCTTCCATTCGCCCACTCACTAACTCTTCCATTCGCCCACTCACTAACTCTTCCATTCGCCCACTCACTAACTCTTTCATTCGCCCACTCACTAACTCTTTCATTCGCCCACTCACTAACTCTTTCATTCGCCCACTCACTAACTCTTTCATTCGCCCACTCACTAACTCTTTCATTCGCCCACTCACTAACTCTTTCATTCGCCCACTCACTAACTCTTTCATTCGCCACTCACTAACTCTTTCATTCGCCCACTCACTAACTCTTTCATTCGCCCACTCACTAACTCTTTCATTCGCCCACTCACTAACTCTTTCATTCGCCCACTCACTAACTCTTTCATTCGCCCACTCACTAACTCTTCCATTCGCTCATTCACTAACTCTTCCATTCGCTCTTTCACTAACTCTTCCATTCGCTCTTTCACTAACTCTTCCATTCGCTCTTTCACTAACTCTTCCATTCGCTCTTTCACTAACTCTTCCATTCGCTCTTTCACTAACTCTTCCATTCGCTCTTTCACTAACTCTTCCATTCGCTCTTTCACTAACTCTTCCATTCGCTCTTTCACTAACTCTTCCATTCGCTCTTTCACTAACTCTTCCATTCGCTCTTTCACTAACTCTTCCATTCGCTCTTTCACTAACTCTTCCATTCGCTCTTTCACTAACTCTTCCATTCGCTCTTTCACTAACTCTTCCATTCGCTCTTTCACTAACTCTTCCATTCGCTCTTTCACTAACTCTTCCATTCGCTCTTTCACTAACTCTTCCATTCGCTCTTCACTAACTCTTCCATTCGCTCTTTCACTAACTCTTCCATTCGCTCTTTCACTAACTCTTCCATTCGCTCTTTCACTAACTCTTCCATTCGCTCTTTCACTAACTCTTCCATTCGCTCTTTCACTAACTCTTCCATTCGCTCTTTCACTAACTCTTCCATTCGCTCTTTCACTAACTCTTCCATTCGCTCTTTCACTAACTCTTCCATTCGCTCTTTCACTAACTCTTCCATTCGCTCTTTCACTAACTCTTCCATTCGCTCTTTCACTAACTCTTCCATTCGCTCTTTCACTAACTCTTCCATTCGCTCTTTCACTAACTCTTCCATTCGCTCTTTCACTAACTCTTCCATTCGCTCTTTCACTAACTCTTCCATTCGCTCTTTCACTAACTCTTCCATTCGCTCTTTCACTAACTCTTCCATTCGCTCTTTCACTAACTCTTCCATTCGCTCTTTCACTAACTCTTCCATTCGCTCTTTCACTAACTCTTCCATTCGCTCTTTCACTAACTCTTCCATTCGCTCTTTCACTAACTCTTCCATTCGCTCTTTCACTAACTCTTCCATTCGCTCTTTCACTAACTCTTCCATTCGCTCTTTCACTAACTCTTCCATTCGCTCTTTCACTAACTCTTCCATTCGCTCTTTCACTAACTCTTCCATTCGCTCTTTCACTAACTCTTCCATTCGCTCTTTCACTAACTCTTCCATTCGCTCTTCTCACTAACTCTTCCATTCGCTCTTTCACTAACTCTTCCATTCGCTCTTTCACTAACTCTTCCATTCGCTCTTTCACTAACTCTTCCATTCGCTCTTTCACTAACTCTTCCATTCGCTCTTTCACTAACTCTTCCATTCGCTCTTTCACTAACTCTTCCATTCGCTCTTTCACTAACTCTTCCATTCGCTCTTTCACTAACTCTTCCATTCGCTCTTTCACTAACTCTTCCATTCGCTCTTTCACTAACTCTTCCATTCGCTCTTTCACTAACTTCCATTCGCTCTTTCACTAACTCTTCCATTCGCTCTTTCACTAACTCTTCCATTCGCTCTTTCACTAACTCTTCCATTCGCTCATTCACTAACTCTTCCATTCGCTCATTCACTAACTCTTCCATTCGCTCATTCACTAACTCTTCCATTCGCTCATTCACTAACTCTTCCATTCGCTCATTCACTAACTCTTCCATTCGCTCATTCACTAACTCTTCCATTCGCTCATTCACTAACTCTTTCATTCGCTCATTCACTAACTCTTTCATTCGCTCATTCACTAACTCTTTCATTCGCTCATTCACTAACTCTTTCATTCGCTCATTCACTAACTCTTTCATTCTCATTCACTAACTCTTTCATTCGCTCATTCACTAACTCTTTCATTCGCTCATTCACTAACTCTTTCATTCGCTCATTCACTAACTCTTTCATTCGCTCATTCACTAACTCTTTCATTCGCTCATTCACTAACTCTTTCATTCGCTCATTCACTAACTCTTTCATTCGCTCATTCACTAACTCTTTCATTCACTCATTCACTAACTCTTTCATTCACTCATTCACTAACTCTTTCATTCACTCATTCACTAACTCTTTCATTCACTCATTCACTAACTCTTTCATTCACTCATTCACTAACTCTTTCATTCACTCATTCACTAACTCTTTCATTCACTCATTCACTAATTCTTTCATTCACTAACTCTTCCATTCATGCATTCACTAACTCATTTACTCACTAACTTTCTCATTCACTCACTCACACACTCCCTCACTCACTCACATTCTTTCATTCATTCATTCATTCACTCATACATTCATTCATTCACTCACTCACTAACATTCTCTTACTCTCTCTGTCCCCTTCCTTCAGTATAAGGATCTGCTCCTGTAACACCAATGGCTGCTTGCATGTAGTGTGGTGAAGTAATAATACTGAAGCATACTTCATGCCAAGGATATGCTAAGGAGACCAATTTAACTAATTTCATACAAGAAACAATAGTATATTCTTTAAAATATTCATGATATACAAGAAGTTCCATCCATCCTGTGCACAAGATCAGATTTATTATGCTTGTGTTTTAATTCATAAAAAAAAATAAATAAAGATTAATTTGTTGCACTTCTTTCCAAACCTGTCAGCGCTCTTGATTAATTATGTAAAACATCAGAGAAAATATTCCTAAAACTTTTGTCTTACGATAGCTTTCCTTTTTATATCTGACCTTCATATGCCACGGTAATAATTTAGAAATTTCACTGTGAGGTTGACAACACCTACAAGGCCATAGTGTTGATTCTGGCTTTCTCTCTAGAACCGATATGTCATCTTTCATTTTAAACAGCAAGTCTTTATATCTTCTAAACCTTACGAAATAAAATTACAGTTATTACACAAACAAAAGCACTTAGTATGGCCTCAATCACAGGTAAGTTGTATAAAATGTCTTCACTCAGGATATATAATCATAGTACCATAATAGAATTACGAAAATTAATATTTGTTCTAATATGCTCTGGTATTCATTCTTGGCTCTTTTCATAATCAATCTTCAATAACTTTCTGTGCTAACATGCCCCCTAAAGGCTTGCAAATCTGTTGAATAAACAATTAAATGTGGACAAAAACAATTCAGAGAAATGATTGCAAACAATTTCACGAAATCCATCTCAAATCTAAAAAAAAGATACAGAATTACCCTACACAAACTTATATAAACAACCCACATAACTATACATATTATTAACAATATATATAATATAATATGTAATATTATATTATATAATTATATAATTATATATAATATATAATTATATAATATATAACAATATATAATATAATATTAACAATATATATATATATATTAACAATATAAAAATATAAACAATGTAAGCAGCAATGATAAAAAGGTTAAAAAATAACAAACAAATAGTATCACAGAAGCTAGGAGTGAGCAGGGTTGTGAAGAAAATATAGGCATGACTGAAAAAGGCCTAACATTCTAATTCTATTGAACAAGGCTATTGTAAGGGTCTAATATGACGAGAATGAGAGACCTAATCGAATGTTTCTATAGCACTCGAAATCAAAGCTGCATCCTAGGATATAATGTTAGATTCCAAAAGAGAAGATGTAATTCATTCATAAATGAGTAATAATGAGTATCTTAGTTAATTGGCATGCTAGTAACTTGAACACCATTCTAATTTTTAAAAATTTACATACTATTAATACTTGTTTATAACAGGATATGAAGCAAGTCCCTATTTTGCTGACAAGATATTTTGCATTTTGCATGCGTTCGTGTGACTTATTTATTTATTATCATAACTTTTCATTTATATATATTATTCATATATACTAAACTATTAATCATGTGGTTTTTGAAATGGGGATTTTCTCAATCATATTCGAATTCTGGCAAAAGCCTAGAAACCTTAGAATGGAGGCATACAAACTGGCACTGGTTGAAAATACCACCCAATTCACACTAGAAAATCTAAATCTACAAAGCATACTACCTGTATAATCATGTGATACAAAAAATGCTGAGCACTGTGCCTTTAACACACTGGCAAAGACCCAACAAACTGATATATTCATCCATGCAATAAATGAGAATTATGACTTCACTTACAACAGTATTGTCTAAAAAGAAATCAGTCTAATCTAGAATATGTAAATAAAAATTGCCATATCAACAAAATAACTGAGGCTGCTATTGCTTGATAATGCATCACCATCAGCTTGGACTCAACCCTATGGCCATGTATGGAAAACTACATGCCATTTCTATTGTAATTTTCATATTTGTAGTTACACAGATATGGCTCCACACGTGAGCCACAACTGTGAAACTATAATAAACTAGTGATTAGTCACAAGGAACTCAAATTATCAGTCATACCTATGTCTCTGTCTAACATTTCCTTTAAGTTTGATAGGTTCTTTTTAATAATTTTCTTTCTTACCATTATTAATATTGTAATGGCATTATATTAATCAATGTCTACAATAATAACAGTTTGAACATGAACTGCATTACAAAAATATAATTCTTCCAATATTCAAGTAATGGGGAGATCAGTGCAGCACTAGGCCCTACTAATTGATTCAGTGGTTTACTACTGTTGGCCTTCCATTACTAGATCACAAGACCCTGGCCTGAATAAATATGACCATAAATTATGAGACACAAGTCGTATCTAAAACGGCATTAGCCATGTCTTGCATTCATTTATACATGTGAGATAGATTCAGTTTCGACAGATTTCCTGACAGCATAACAAATGGAGAATGGGGTTAATGCATTCAGTCGTGGTATATTTTTAGTTAACCCACTAACGCCGGTATATTTTGAAGCCGAAAATAATAGTTTCCGGGCAGCTTGAAAATAACTCTTTACATTAAATTTGTCTAGAGATTAACCAATGAAAGTAGCCACAAACAGACAGGTAAATTGTTCACAAGATTAGTTTTATTGTGAACTTTGAATACTGGAAGCAGTTCAGCGCCAGTTCTGTGTCGTGCAAATATGAATGTGATTGTTGATTAGCTTCCATATGATACAAATTAACAATACTAAAAGGTAGTTTTCCATCATAAAAAGAAACCACTCAAGTTTTATCCTGCCACAATATTCATGGAGGAGGATTCTTGACTAACCCCAAACATCATGGGCACAGAAGCCACTGCTATCTCTGTGCACGTTGTATTAAGTTAACTAACAAATCATCGCCAGCAATTTCAATTAGATATTTGGCAGAAACCAAAAAGGTTTTATAAAAATCATAACTTTTCAACCCAAACCTTGATTTCTCACAGATCACTCAGGCATGTTGGATGCGGAGGAGTGTGGGATTATCAACTCTGACATCATAGGCTTTGACACAGGAGTCACTGGCTGGTTTGTTAAAAGTTGCAAGGCCCGACCCAATGAATATTCATTATTCAGACATACATATATACTAAAATAAAAACATATCCATCAGTATAGACATGGGTATCTAACATATAGAATATATCTGATAGATAGACAGATATGTATTTATTTCTGCGTATATGCATGTCTGTGTACACAAATATTCATTGGGTCGGGCCTCGCACAATTCCAAGAAAGCAGCCCATTGTTACCACTACAACCTACATAAAAATTCTGAATCTAGTTAAATGAAGGTCAAACATCTTTGCTATTAAATGAACACAATTTATTATTTTCTTGTAGTTGATTACATTAAAGCTGATCATCTAAAATTCCACAATCAAAAAAAAAAAGCAGTAACAAAATTTTGACTGTTCAGTATAGCTATAAATAGTTTGCAGTGGAAAATAGTTTGGTTCACAGAGCCAACCAAGCTTGCAATTATAGTCTTTGGTTCAAATTGTTCACAGTGTAATGTGTGTGAATTTTCTGTTTTCCATTGCAAATGCTCAGTTCAGGAAATATGTGAAAGTCTTGGTAATTACTTTTGAAGTGACCATATTTCGTAAACAGTAATGAATACTATTACTCCTGCCAAGAACATTGAAGGTGCACCTTTAGAAGTTACACACATCTCCATTTGCACCAAAATTCTTCCTAAACCCCACCCGACTATGGAACATTTGGTTTCTTATAGTATTTGTTGTAACCTCAGTACAAGTTACTGAGAGCAACATACTTTCTAGTTTCCAAATATACAAAAATTATTGTGCGGAAACCTACTGAACCCCATATTCTTGGCCCCAATAGCAGAAGAGGGTATTAAAGCTACCGGGAATATAGGGTAAAATGTAAATAATATACCACAAATAAGTCACTATATTGGCTGATGGAGGGGGCTGTTCCCCCTTCAACCTCTTCACGTGGGGCTGCTGCCCCTAACCCCCACCAGGAAAACAAAACCTCCACTTATTCACAGCAGGAGAGAGAATACGACTGCCATGCAGGAGCAGCATTGCCAAGTCTGTCCGACGCTCTCTCCTGCCATGAATAGGAGTACGATTTTTTGTTTTTCCTGGTACCTTTCATGCCCTCCCTTCCTATTGTGCCAAGAATGTGGGGTTGGGGGCTTCAGCACAATGAAACATACGGTTGCATTTAGACAGTGGGAGAAATCCAACGATACTAAAATCTTTGCTATCTGATATGTAGACGTATTAGAAAAAATTATCTTGGGACTTTGTCTCTAGTTGGCACATCATTCTCGGTAACACTTACAGCAACCTTAAAATGTCTAACATTATTTTTTGCCCGAGCATAATATTTCATGTATAAGGGAGTGCAGTTTTTCCCTAATGTTATAACAGTATCAGTAGATTTACTGGTTAATCTTCATGAATTGGATACACTAATACAAGATGCAGATGATATTCTTGTGAAGGAGAGAAATATGCTGTTAGTAATAATTTGCAAAACTTTAATGGAAAAAAAAGCAGAAAGTGCTGCTCACAGCCTATGTCCACATGGTGTGCTCATGTTTCAGGTCTATCTTGGCATGCAAACCATAAAGACAATGTTTGCATGAGGGTGTTAGGTCAACACTCTCCTCAGGCAGTAATGCTTAGTCAAAGTAGTCACAGCAACTTCGATTACTGAATAAATTTTGTAACAGTGAGTTGGGGGACTTCCTCTCTGTGCAAAAGAACTGATTTTCCCTTTCTAAGAACTGGAATGTGCTCCACAAGTTGTTACTATCAGCACTTTATTCTTTATTACAGCATAGTGTACCTTGTACCATATGGCTGTGCAGAACAAACTATTTCTTTGCAGTTAATAGATTTCACATATACCCTGCTGAACACATTGCAGGCATGCGTTTGCTTCGAACAAACTATACCATTGAGGGAAACCCGATTCTACAATGTAATACCAAAACATTCTATTCAGGCAAGATAAAACTTGGACTGGTTCCTAACATGATAATAAATCACCCAGGCTATTTATTTGCCTGTTCAGTACAACCACTGCAAACTACCAGTAGACAGCAATTCACTCTTCTTTCCACATAAATAATTAAACCTTCATAACTCTTCCACCTCCTATTCCATTGTCAAAATCACAGACACCACCGAAGGAAAGAAAACCATCCCGATCTGTAATTCCCTCGAATGTCAATACACGATTACCTGAGGAACCCCGACCCGGACCCTAAGCCTAATCGTCCTTCTCTCTCCCGCCCACGCCACACGAACCGAGTCCTCCTGTCCTACCTGATACTCGACGTGCACTCCGTCCCTTCTCGATCTCCTCGTAAAAGCACTCCTTGGCGTTGTCAGGGAGTTCGAAAGTCAGCTCGACCGCAGCCGCCCTGGCCACACACTCGCCGCCACAGCCACCAGCAACCACACTTCTCCATGTTGTCCGTCTCGCTAACACTTTCGTCACTTGGCCAGCATCAACTGGACATAATTAGGTCCGGACTGGGTCAGTAATAACGCGAAATCCGCGCACAATCCCGTCTATTGGGACTTTGACAGTCGACCCGCGTCTTCTGCTAAAATACGTGGCCGGAAACAAAATACAGCCGCGTTCAAGGAGGGGAATGTGTTCGGATTCTGACATATATCGGTCTCCGGCCAATCAGCACGGGCTTGAGGGAGGTAACAGCCAATCAGGAGACGGGATCTGGACTAGAGTCGGAACCTCTTGCTCTTTATGAACGAAGCCAAAATAGTGAGTTGGTGCTGCCATCTGTTGGTCATGTAAGAATTCTCGCGTTCGAATCATCTACCCAATATTGGAAAATTGTATTTATTATTATGTGGATAAGAATAGATCGCTCTACATGCACATACTCTCATAACGGAATGAATAAGTATCCTTAACAATCATTCAAGGTATAATGCACTGTAAAGTCCTTGTCCTAAAATAATTTCCCACAAGTATCTGAATTTAAATGCAACGATTGAAACTCGAATTGCCTCGAGAGTATAAACGATGACGTCGAAAACCTTGAAGAAAATAAACGTAAACTTGATGACTCGCCGCACTGCGCAAGAACACGTGTCATAATTTCAACCGTTGTATTCCACAAGAGCAGAAAACATATTGTTCAAAATTAGAACTCCTGTTACGCATATCAGAGCCCTATCTCAATCCGAAGTTTCAGGAGATAATTATATGCATGTTACCTGAAAATTGAGGTCCTTTCGCGTGTTGAAAAGGAAAGAAAAGGAAAGAAAAAATATTATTCCCTAGAGAAGGGTTTTGCACATTGCATTCACGAATTAATCGTCCATATATCAAGTTACATTAATGACAAGTCAACATAATTTTATCTTTGTACTAGATCTTGAATCACACATCTCTATTATATATATATATCTGTTCACTAATATTATGAAATAATATATCAGAAGCTGGAATTCCCACCAAGGGACGAGCGCGGGCATGTAGGGTAATGTATAGTGTATTTCATAACCATTTATCCCAGAACAGCAGCCCAGTTGGAAAATTTGTGCGGATGCTAGGCAGATCACCGAAATTGACTACTGTTCAGGAATGATGATCTGTTTTTTTTCTAACGTTTGCTCGCTCGCTCTCCTCTGGCACTCATTCTCTCTCTCTCTCTCTCTCTCTGTTCACTGTCTCTTCTGTCACTGTCGTCTGTCTCCGTCTGCTGTTTCTCTCTCTCTCTCTCTCTCTGTGTCTCAGTCTCTGTCTGTCTGTTCTCCTCTCNTATTATATAAATATATAATAGTTGATATTATAGTATATATGATAGATAGTATAGATTTATAGATAAAAAATTTAATAATATATATATATATATATATATATATATATATATATATATATATATATATATATATATATATATATATATATATATATATATATGTACATATATGTTTTATCTAACTAAAAATTGGAATTAGCGGTTGTAATAAAGTTAAATCTATTTTCTGCAGATTTTCAATTTGGTTTAATATCAATCTCACTTCATATCACATATATTTCTCTGCTTAAAATTGTATATGATGATTAAACCTTTAGCGTTTTTGTATTTTGGAAATTACAGTAAATAAACAAACTTTTCACAACTTCGCTAATCATTTCCTCATTTTACCCAATTCCTATTTTCACCCTAATTGCGCAGATGCACATCACCAAGTGAATTTCAGATCCTATCAAGAAACACTGAACAAATATAAATCATAATTATTTAGAAGTATTTGAGAGCTACATCCACTGGGAACATTCATCATCAACTTGACATTAGAGAGATTTGCTGTTAATTATGTTTGCAAAGGTGACCATAAACCTATTTAATAGAAAATTACTAATGTTTAAAAATACCGGAACATCCTCTCAGTACGGTACAAACCTAAAGCGTGAAGTAACACTGTTAATAGAGTACAAGAACAACCATGTAATGCGCAGTACCAGCTTCATGGAATAAAATAGTACCCTTATTATGTGCAGTAATACCTGTATAATGTGCAGTAATACCTCTGATATGTGCAGGAACACCTTTATAAAATACGGTAACCTCCCTATAAATTGCACTGAAGTCCACATTTAATGGTATACCCCTTATGGAACACCGTTATCGAGTCCAGTAACACTCCTACATTTTACACCAATACGCATTTCACTTAGAATACAACCACGCCGTTCTGTCATTGAGATATCCTTTAATCCAAGCCACCAGGACGCCCTTTGCCCAAGGATAAGCGGGCAGTGTGTGGATAATTCCCTGGTGGATTTCGTCAAAGACAGCCCTCTGATTTCTGAAGGTGCCGCGGGTGAGGGAGAGGCTGACGGGGAGATGGAAGGCGGGGCTGACTGTGCATGCTGTGGGGAGGATAGCCCTGATCTGAGTATGTATTACATATACTATAATGTAAACAGCTCCCACCACGACACACAATACACACATGTTATGCCGCGGGACCGTGGCTAAATATCTTCTAAATCTGACGGCATACATCTCCATAATCTGTCCTTACCCTTACCACTTACCTCCTCCCTCCTCTCTTCTTACCCGCTACTTTACCCTTTGTCTCTTCTCCTCCCTACCTTCTTTCCCCTTACCTCCTCTCTCCTCTATTCCCTTACCTCCACCCCTTCCTTCCCCTTCTTCCTCCTCTTCCCTTCCTTCCTTCCCTTCCCTCCTCTCCCTTCCCCTTCCCCTCCATTCCCTCCTCTTTACCCACTCTCCCCCTTCCCTTCCCATCTCCTCCTCTTTTACCCCTCCCTTCCCCTCTCCTCCCCCTCGTTCCCCCCCACGGGCCCCAGATCCTGATACCTGATACAAAGGATGAGTCAAAGGGAGGCAATGGGGCTGAAAATTTTTTATTCCTTTTATCTCCCGCAAAAGTCAACATTAGGGGTAGCGATCAGTAGTCGATATTTGGCGGCTTACAAATCGAAGAAGGGGGGGAGGGGGGGTGGGGGTGGGGGAGGGTGGGAGAGTGGGGGGAGGGTTGGATGGGGGTGGGGGTGGGGGGAGGGCTTGGGCGGGGGGTTAGGGGAGGGTGGGAGGGCTTGGGAGGGTGGGGGAGGGAGGGGGGAGGGCTTGGGGGGGGGGTGGGGGAGGGATGGGAGGGGGGGAGGGAGGGTGGGGTTGGGGGGTAGGGAGGGGGGTATGGTCATGGGTTAGGTGGAGGGAGGGAGGGAAGTCGGGGGAAGGAGGGGAGGGAGGAAGAGTCTGGCTTTTTCGCTTTGTCTGTCTTTTATTCTTCTTCTATTTACTCTTTCTTTCTCTTTTATTTTCTTATTCTCCATCTCTCTCTTCTTTCTCTTTATTCATCTACCCTCTCTCTCTCTCTCTCTCTCTCTCTCTCCTCATTCTTTCCCTCCCCTCCTCTCTTTTCACCTCTCTCTTCTTTCTCTTCTATATCCTCTTTCTCTCCCATCTCTCTCTCATTTTCACTCTCCCTCACTCACTGCCCATCTCTCTCCTTCAATCCTAGTCTCTACATTATCTCTCTCTTCTTCTTCTTCTTCTCTCACTCTCTCCCACTTCTCGTTCGTTCGAGACTAAATCAGTCAACTTTGAAAACAAACGATTTTGATTTTTTGTCAACCGTCATTTGTTTTCTTTTGTTTTGTTTAATCTTTGTTTTTTGTTTGTTTTTGTTTTTCGTTTTTTGTGTTTAATGGAAATCTGAGTCTGCGTTCAACAGCTTTTCAATTTGAAGAAAGTGAAGGAATTTATTTACTAATTGAAGAAAAAAAAGGGATATCATAACAGATGTCAGAAGAAGCATAGATGGTACGTAAATATAAACATGTGGGGGAAAAAATGTCCGATAATGAGTGAAACATTTAGTCTCTCGCCCTCCTTCTTCCCCCTCCCCCCCCCCCCCTCCCCCTTACCACCGAGGACACCAATCACCCCTGATAAATCACCCCTATGATATCACACTTTATTGTACCAACGCGTTTTAATTCAGATCTAACGCATTCATTCATTCCGGATTAAGCCCCAAATTGGCTGCCACCCTCAGTGACCCTTATGGCCAGGGGAGCGTAGAGACCAAAGTCGATTGTCCCGTCGGGGCGAGAGGGGAGGGGGAGGAGTGACGGGAACGGCGAGGGAAACGCTCCGCCTCTAAGCGCCGGAGCTGTAAGGGCGAGAGTGCCGTGGTGCGCCGACGGGAAGATGGGCCCTAAAGCCTAATGTACCCAGTGTCTGCCGCGGAAGTTAGAGAGGACAAAGGAAATATAATGGTGGCATATGGCCTATCATATCCTCGCACCGTTTAGCTTATGTTGATAACAATAATAATAATAAAAAAAAAAGAGGAAGAAGGGAGGAGGACTCTAAAATGCTAAATTGTTTCGTCTTATTCAACGATTATTTTCACTTTTATTCTCCATTCAGAGAAGACTTATGGTGCGTTCTTTCTCTCTTTTTTTGTATCGTTTTGTGTATATTCATTTTTCATCTTTCTTTCTCCCTCTCCCCCTTCGCCGTACGGATATGGACGAGGGAATGGACACAAAAAAAAAACGATTATAATAAGAAAGACAAGTGCGTGTTTTTGAGCATCTGTTCCGACGGACACGTGGGTGACATCCTTAAAGAAGTGTAATGATAATGGAGTTGAGAGTGAATGCATGGGGGGTAGTATTGACAGGAAGGGGGTGGGGGGAGAAGGGAGGGAAGGGAGGGAAGGGAAGGAGGGGAGGGAAGTGTGGAGGATTGAAGGGAGGGGGGAGGGGGAGGGGTGGAGGATGGGAGGGGTGGAGGATTGAAGGGAGGGGGTACAGGAGGGAAGGAGGGGAGGGAGGGAGGGGGTGGAGGATTGAAGGGAGGGGGGGGTGGAGGAGGGAGGGG